AATCCAGATGAAGCTTAAACTTTTAGGAAACATTTTGGATCTGTTTAAAGGCAAAAACCAATCTCCCATAATAAAGCTCTCTCGATAGCACTGAAGACCCCTTCCAAAATTCCAGGGCCTTCTCAATTATTCAGAATCAATAAGCCAACTAATATTTAACTAAGAGTCCATAAAAGTTTGAAGTTGTTTGAAGTCTTCTAAGAGCATCTTACATTTCCTCTTTCCTGGGAGTTGTGACCCATGTCATTTTAGAAAACCCCGTACCTAATGCAAGAAGGGATATTCAGCAAAGGTGAGGTGGAAAGAAATAAGAGATGTTTAAGGAAGGTCACGTAGTGGTGGGGGAAGCCTGTATTTGAATGCAAGTGACAATCCAAGATGAAAAGCTTCATAAAGCACTCTGTTAAGTTATAAATGGGTGAAGTAGTGGGGTCAAACATCCAGAGATGTAGGTTACTAATGTCCCTTCCCCCAGAAGAGAAGGTGATAAAAGGAAGCCATTAAGGGTGGGCCCTTTTTCTGTCTGGGTACTCCCAGGCTTGGGGGTAGGGTGACAGAAACATTCATCAGGATAGGATCTGGCCCAGCAGGTGGAAGGGAAGGAGGAGCTCTGCAGGACTGAGCAGATGCTCATCAAAGTCCCTTAGCACTGGCACTGAGCCAGGATTTTAAGGAGCCCAGGTGGGGGCAGAGTGGGAAGAAAGATGTGGATTCCAAGGGACAGGTATTGTATAAGGCTGAGGCAGGAGGCCACCCGTGAGGCCTGAGGGTGGAGAGTGTGTGGAGTGGGAGTGCAGTGTCTAGACCACCTGCCGTTATCAGAGGGAGAGGAATGAATGCAGCTTACTTGAAATGACAGGATGACAGCAATGACATTATGAGAAGAGAAGCAGAAAAGTGCAAGCGCATATTTAGAAAATGGCAACTGTCTCTTCACCATCAAGTTCTCCTGGGGAGCTGCCCAAGACAGCACCAGGTCTCTATCCAGACTGAGACCTCCAGATAAAGGGGCTCTTCCTCTGACCATTCTTCGTCCTTTGAGGGATCCTTCAGAGGTGGGGCAAGGCTCAGCCACATTGGATAAAGACTCTACTTCCAGACCTTTATCACTGACTGGTGGACCATAAGGGCCTGTCTTTGTTCCTCCCACCCACATTCCACCACCAACCTGAAGACTCCGAGAGCAGTAATTGTGAGGCAATCAGCATGTGCCTGTTGAATGGGGGACAGCTTCTGTCAGATGTGTCTCAGGGTATAACACGCAGGAGAGATTTATGTGGACAAAAACATAAGTCCATTCACCACATCCCAGGGTGACCACTGTAGACCATCACAGACCTATGTCGGGAGGGCAGGGAGGCCAGGGCAAGGGCTGTCTTGCCCCTGGTCAAGGCCAAGACCTAACACTGGGACTCAGAAATAAAACCACACAGAACACCTACCCCATGTCTAACTGCAAAAACTCATTTTGGCCAATAGTTTTCACCTCTTCCTAATGCATTTTTTTTTTTAATTAGAATTGAGCAAGGTGGACTAGCTTGCAAATATTTAGGGTTTTTTTTTTTTGGTTCCTGACATCCTCTGGGGAATGAACCCAGTTGTAATGAGATATTGACTGCAGTGAAGAGAAGTAAAGGAAAGCTTGGATAATCTATATTATGGCTGATGCACTGTAACCAAATAGGCAAGACATACTATTATCAGGGCATGTAAAATTCAAAACACAGAGAGAAAAAAAATCATAATGTAACCACTATTTTAGAAGTCCACTGGTTTTTGTATTTTTTCCACTTTGTAAAGGCTGCTGGGGTGACCTTGGATGGAGGCAGAACAGAGCTCAGGGTAAATGCAGGCTGCAGCCAATATTCCCCATTGCTAGAGATCCCCATTCTGGTACAGTTCAGTGCCATGAGGAAGCAGGTAAGTGTTCACATGTGTACACACAGGCAAAGCAAGATAGAAGAAGCCCGTAAACCCAACAAGACATCAGCAGTTGTCCTGAACAAAGACTGTTGAGAATGTGAGTTTACAAGGATAATTGCCACTCATTATAGAGTGCAATAACTATCTTGTTAGCACAAGAATTTGTCAGACGTGTGTCACACGAGAAGTGGAACAGCTGTAACCGTAAGTGACAGGATGCTGAAAAATGGCTGGTTTCCTAAGCACCTGGTCCCCTGAGACCGTAACATAATCTTGTTCTTAAATTAAAACGACAACAACTACAAACAAGCATAGAATAACTTTCCACTGCAGAAGCTGCTGGCTTGCTAAAGTTTACAGAGAGAATTTTCAATATGTCAGTGCGTAAACATGGAGAGGTAGTCAGAACCTGCCTTATTAAACTACTCCATCACATCACAACATCTGCACTGTTACTCCATCACCTTCACAAGAGGGGTCTGGATCTGAATCCTCGCTCTTGACCACAGCCCCACATCCTTGGGAAATTGTGTCAATCTCTCTGAGCATCCATTTCCGTATAAAACAAAGATAATAATCTCTAATGTACACAGTTGTCATAAGCAATAGAAACCATGGAGTGCCCTTAGCATAGTGCCTGACAAATAGCAGGAAACAGTGTTAAATAGCCCATGCTTAACTAAATGTCACACATGGCTGCATAATGCAGAGGCGACTACCTGTGTATTACACTTAAGAAATGCAAATGTCACCTGACTCTGAGAAAGTGAGAAAAGACAAGAAGTGGTAATAATTGAGGTTCTCCCTGGATACCCAAGAAATTATGCTCTTCATAGAAGATTGGTTTGGGAAGAAAAATAAATTGCTTATTCTGATTATATGCCACCAGAGCTGCTTTCTTCTAGGTAAGAAGTTGCAGAGAGATTGGTATTTGAAAGTCTTTGGGGGACCCATGAAACAGGGCCTATTTTCTAACTGAACACTTTCGGCAAATTCTCTGTAACAGATATAATGAGCTGTGCAAGTTGACAAAGTGTTTCATCTCCCCACTAAGAGAAGGAAATCTTTTCCCAAGCATACTGCATCTTGTTGATTACTGGATACTCCAAGGCTCACAAGAATGCCACCAGCAGGTGAGGGGTGTTGCTCGGTGGTAGAGCCCATGCTTAGCATGCACAAGGCCCTAGGCTGGATCCCAGCACTAATGGACACACACACACACACACACACACACACACACCAAGACTGCACCTGTTTCTTAGCCAGGGCTCACAGCTTTTAAGGCTGAAACCCTTTTAGAAGAGTAAAGGTCTTTAATTCTTTCCTACAACATGAGAAAGTACCTCAAGTTCTAATTAAACCAAAGCAATTAGCCCCCCACAGATCCTTAACACTGCTTCCCATGGCCAGGCAATCATCTCTATTAAAACCCCTTTTAAAGTAAGGAGCAAACCCAAAGCTCCACTGGCAGACACTTCCTGCTTCCCACAATCCATTACCCCTTTAGACACATTCTGTAAATATGCTCAGGCAAACTCTGCCTGCACAGAGAGCTTTGATGAAAGGACTCCCTTAGACATGATGAGGCAGTTGCCAGAAAGGAGGTGACAAGCAGCAAACGTGACAATCTGGGTAACAAAATCCACTCCCAGAGTGGATGCTCCATCTCCGGTCAGCTGGATAAACTGAAGCCTCAGATTTTCTTCTGGTTGGTTTAACAGTTAACTCGTCAACTCCACCATAACAGAGCACAGCAAGCAAAAGCAGAACCAGAGCCTCCAAGTCTTTCAGTGTAACCAGAACATTGTCCAAACTGATGCTTCACTGGGGCTGTCCTCTCCCATGACCCAATCTGTCACTGAAGCATTGACAGGGTGTGCCTGGTGGTTTAAGAGTGAGTCCAATCTGCTCAAGTTTGCTGTTTGTAGCCCACTTGGAGCCATCCTACCTAAGACTCCCTTTGATGAAGGGACTTCATTGCTATCTGCAGCCCAAGGTGACTTTCATACTCCAAAAAAGGAATAACTACACAATGGTCAGTGGGCTAGTTACTCAGATTTAAATACCTGCCTCAAGAACTAGGGTTATTTTTCAGCCTAGGCATGTTGCTCCATTAATTTCTCCCTTCTCAATTAAACAAGGACTCCCCCCCCCTTTCTGTTTACTTGTGTGGTTTTACTTTTGTTTTGTTGTTTTGAGTTGGAAAATTTATCAACCATTAGCAGATATCCAAAATGTTGGTCTAGACTAGCATTGTCCAACAGGAGTAAGATTTAAAAATTTTCCCAGGAGCCACACTTAAAAGGATAAAAAGATTATTATAGAATATTTCATTTAACCTAATATATCAAAAGTATTATTCATTAAACATATAAACACCAAAGAATTAATGAGACATTTTATATTCTTTTTTCACATTCTTTTTCTCATTCTATTGGGCTGTATAGAACTAGAGCTATGTTCAAATTGACATGTATAACATGAGTATAATTAATTCCGTACTGAATGTTAGAATTGGTTAAGAGTAGATTTCAAGAACTCTCACTGAAGAAAAAAGGTAACTAAGCAAGAAGATGAATATGTTAATTTGCTTCACTGTGGTTCACTGTATATAGCAAAACATGTTATATACCTCTTATTAAGAAGAAAAATGTCTTGGGAAGATTTCTACTATTCACTGTTATAGGAAAATTTAAAGTATTCAAGTAACACGATTTCATTTTAACTTTATAAAAATTGGTATCTATGTGTTCAGATGTACACAGAAAGCAGTCTAAGGAAAAGCATCAAAAATTAGTTATCTTTATCTGAGAGCTAGAATTATGGATAGTCCTCATGTTCTACTTCATACTCTTATATTTTCTAAACTTTTTTCAGTGAGCATGTTTAATTATCATGAAAACTATAAAGCTAGTCTTTAAAAACACCACCACCAATAGCAACAACAACAAAACTCTGTCCCTTATTTTAACTCTCTCCATTCTGCTGGCACAAGAGCCACTGCCCTATTTACAGCTAACAGAAGGGATGGCCCAAAGTTACGTCCCACCCTGCCATCCCAGCACTGCCATACTTACAGCCAATCATCATGATAGCCACTGCAAAGATCTTCTCAATGTCTGTGGATGGGGCAATATTCCCAAAGCCCACGCTGGTGAGGCTGGTCATGGTGAAATACAACGAGGAGATGTAGACAGAGTTCTTGCTGGGACCACCTTCCCACTTCCCTGAGCCAGACCCATTAAACTGGTAAGGAGTGCCAATGTCCATTGCCAATTGGTAGAGCCAGCTGTTGTTGCGGATCGTCTTGGTGTCCTCGTCAAAGATCTCATAGTCCCCAATGCTGTACCAAATGCAGGCCATCCAGTGTGCAGCCAGCCCAAACACACACACCAGCAGGACCAGCACGGCAGCTCCATATTCAATGTAGTGGTCCAGCTTACGGGCTACCCGCCCCAGACGTAGCAGCCGAACAACTTTCAGAGAGCTGAAGAGACTGCTGATGCCCTGTGAGAAGAGGAACACAGGGTCAGGATGGAAGATACGACCCCTCCCCTCCGCCCCACTTGGGCCATTATTTTAAGCATAGTGTATTTTCATGAGATACAATATTATGCAACCCTTAAAAATTAAAATCATAATTTTATTCCCAAGAGTACTGTATGGAGATTTCTCTTAACTTTTTCCTTCTTTCTTTAAAAAGCAAATTAATAGGAATTATGTTGTGCCAAAGTATACAAATATAAGGGAGTATCTTTATATCATTAGTTATTTTTAAACAATTTTTAAGGGTTGCACAACATTTGTATTTCACATTCCATTGTGCACAGGCATATAAATATGGGTTACAAAATGGTCAAGAAACACACACACAAAAATTTAACAGTCGTTATTGCTGTATTGTCAGGTTATGAAATTACAGGTAATTTTTTAAACATATTGGTACATATTTGTTAGACTTGTATACACTTATTTTCTGTATCATGACTTTTATAATGAGTAAAAAGGTATTTAAAAACCATGGAAATTTAAAATAAATTAAATAGCTGAGAAGGACTAAGACTGTTTTCTGAGAAAAGTTATAAATTCTTGAAAGACTGTCATTTCTTTCAGGTTAGGGGTTGTATAATCAAACACCATCTATTGAAACATTATCAACTGAGGAAACAGTGCTAGAGGGAGACTCCTGGATTTAGCTAGTCAATCCTCTTCCCTTTTGAACTAGTGTTTATGAATTGCACCAGGCCAGGTCTGTTCAACAGCCTTCTATGAAACAGCATGGTGGTAGTGAAAAACACCATCAGAGCAAAAATCTGGAAAACAGCGTTTGAGACCATATATATTGTAAATGTAGACCCTTCCATTACCTCTCAGTTCCCTTGTCTGGACAATGAAGGGAATATACTATAAGGTTTCTTCTTCTTCTCCAAACACTAACATCCTCTCATCTCTAAAGGGAAATGAAACATATTACAGAAGCCACACCTACTTAAAACCCCAAAACTCCTATTCTAAGGCAAATCCAAGATGTATGAAAAAGTTGAAGTTTCCCTTGCAAAGTTCCACTAAAAAATAAATAAGAAAACAGACTTTTCTTTAAGACTTTGTCCTCCTTTAAATGGCAAAAATCCAAGGAAGGATGATGTCCTTCACCAAGAGGACTAAATGACTTTCCACCATCCTAAACACTAGACAGTTTCTAGGTCACTGCTATTTTCTCATTCACTGACCTTTAATGACAACCTGTCCCCTACAAAGGTCAAGTTACATCACAGTCAGAAGGAAAATAGATAAATGCTTTCTGATGCATCTGTGCATTCTTACTCGCCAAGGCCATTTCCTCTCTCTGGGCACATAGCAAAATGACATTTCCCAGTCACCTTCCATCTGGGTGACTATGGGACAAGTTCCTACCAATGAAAAGTGAGATGACTTATGTGTCACTTGCAGGCATAGGCATGCTTTCTCTTTCCTCCATCATGCCTTAGAGGTAAGGCTCATTATGACCTTGAAGCTACCTATTGAAGATGGTGGAATTATAGCCTGCAAGGAACCTAGATCCAGTAAGACTATGTGGAAGGCCCCTTCCCCCAATCCACTTGGATTATAATGTGGTGAACCAGAAGGAAACCTCTAAATAAGCCACTGAAACAGTATTAGCATTCTCCGACAAGCACAGAGCCCTTTTGTCATATGAACACAATCTCACGTAGCAAAGCCTTGCCAATACAGACCAGAAAAATCAGGTTGCCACAAAAAGTACTTTTGTTGAGGGTGGGAGAGGTGGGATTTATTGCCCTTTAAAAAACAAAAACAGTTTTTTTTGCCATAAAATTTAAAACTAATCATTTCTTATCCAACACAGAGCAAGAAACAGCTGGATGTAAGAATCATAATGGATTTTTCTTGACCAAGGGAGTACGTCCTTAGGGTCAGCTACCTTGGCTAAATTTACCACCAGTGTGTCCACTATCCTTTCCTTGGTCTCCTTTCCTTTTCCCTCCATGTGCTTTTCTCAAATTTCTACCATATAGAGAGGCTGAGAGGGGCTGAAGAGGTGGCTCAGCGGGAGAGCGCCTCCCTACCATGTGCACTGGGTTTGTTTCTCAGCACTGCATACAAACAAAGGTCCGTTGACAATTAAAAATTATTTTTTAAAAAAAGAGAAAAGCTGAGAAAATCCCTTCAGAGAGATGAAGGTGAATGGGTATTCCCTCTCCAGAGGGCATTTGCATTACAACAGAGGGGAAAACCTTAGGAAACCAACTTCCAGGAGTAGAATTACAAGTACCCACTGTCTGGATGAAGGAGATATTTCGGGAGGCATCTGAGCCTTTTTGATGACTCAGAAATCAAACGTCATGTAAGCAGCCACCTACCCTCCACCTCTTCCTAAGGCGGTCCCTGAAGTCATCTTTCAAAGCAGTTCAGCTCCGAAACAGAACTTGGCACAAGAGCAAAAACTGCCTTGTCATTTTTTCTTCACCCCTATTCAACTCAGTGACATTTCTGTCTTCCAGAATCCCTGAAAGAATGATCATCCTATCTCTCCTTGACCTTTCCCCTTGGCCACTCCCACTGCCTCTTAGAGATCCCATTCTGTGATGGCCCTTCATGGAAATAAATAAAGAGGCTCCCATCACTTTACCTCACCTCCTTCTAAATTCATCCCTCGTCCCTTCTTTATCCCTTCCCAGTGACCACCTTGGTACCCGAAACCACTAATCAGAGGTCATGCTGTCCTCTAGCCACACCCTCCAGACACAGAGCATTCATTGTGGGTACACAAAGGCATCACTGCACCGGCTCAGACTAACCCCTTATCCCAGAATGCTTTGCTGTCCTGTTACTACCAGCTAATACAAGTCATCCTACAGGCTTGTCACCAACTGCACCCTGAAGCCTTCAGTGACTACCGTGTAGTCACAATCTCTTACTGACTCCCTGTGTCTACTGTTCTGTACCCATAACCACTTGAACACACGGCTTTGCATGATGGTTTCCTGTACCCATTTCCCCAACTACATTCAGGAACCACATCTTCCTAAAGGCAGAAGTCACTTGCTATTAATTTTAGAAGCCCACTGTATTGAACTGAACTATGTCCTTCCCAGAATCTCAGAATGTGATTTCATTTGGAAATGGGGTCATTGTGAGTATGGTTATTTAAGGTCATACTGGAGTTGAGTGAACCATCAATTCAGCATGACTGGTGTCTTTATAAGAGATGAGATGGACACAGAAGAAGAGCATGTTATAGATGCAGGTACAGAGTTGGGGTGATGTGTTTTCAAGGCTAGAAATGCCAAGGATTGCTGGCATAATCAGAAGAAAAATGCATGCAGTTACTGGGCATGGTGGCACACATGGAACATTGAGGCAGGAGGATCACAAGTTCAAGGCCAGCCTGGGCAACTTAGTGAAGTCCCATCTCAAAAAATAAAAAGGGCTGAGGATAGAGCATCCTTGGGGTCAATCCCCAGAACCACAAAAAGAAATAGTTGAAAGAGAAAAAAGAAAGGTGTGCAACATATTCTCCCCCAGTCTGCTGATACCTTCATTTCAGACTTGCAGCCTCCAGAATGGTGACAGGACAGATTCTATTGCATGAAAACCTGGTTTGTGGTCATTTGATTTGGAAGCACCCCCCAAATTAAGATACCCACACAAGGTCTAGAGCACAGTGTCTTTCCAGAAAAAATCTTGAACATTTTCTAAACTGAAATAAAGAGTTATTAGAGAATTCTTTCTCATTTTAAGGAGGTTCTGGAACAATATAAAACAAGAACCTTTTCACTGTGGTGTCTGTCTACCCTGATAACTATTACACAGTGATTGCATAAGTTCTCTTTTATTAACAGCTGGAATTCTAGCTCTTTAAAAGCATTTCAAGCTATTAATTTTGGGGTTTTCCCATTACTTTCCTGAAGTTAAGCAGATGCAATAAATAAAATACTCCAAACTTTTTTTTTTTTTTTTTAGTGCACTGAAAACATGATCGCACCATATGGTAGGAAAAACAAATTACATTTCCCCAGAGATTTCTTGCATCAGAAAACTCATCAAATAGTTCCAGATATCACAACCTTGAATTATGAAGAACCAAGAATTTCCACTCGGGTGGACATGGATGAAGGGACAGTGAGACTCTATACTGCTAGCTTCACCCCTGAAAGCCAACAACTATAGCTGGAGGGAAAGCTTTTGAAATGTAAGTAACCCTGCTTCTAATAATACTGATGCAATTCAAACCAAATGGACACTTAGCAGTCATCAGGATTATTCGTGTGCAAACTACTAGAGTTTCACCTAATTGTTCAGCCTAAATAAATCACTTAAATTTGACTTTACCTTGCCTTCTCATCTAACCTGATTCATTCTCTGCTCATCTTTTTTCCCTCCTGCCATACATATGGACATAAAAGTCAGAGATGGATGACAATGTGTAATTGAAAAGAACTTTCAGGTTCTTACATAGTTCCACCAGGTTTCCAGATCTATATCAAGATACAATGGCTTGCCTAGCAAATTCCGCAGGTAGCCTTTTAAAGATTTAAAAAAAAAAAAAAACTTGTTTTCAAGCCCACTTTATTTATGACCACTCTTCTGTATCCTTCAACTAAAAGTCTCCTTTTCATTCTTTCCCCTGAGGTCCTTTAGAATCCATCTTCACATGGAGGAAAATTCTAAGCCTCAGCATCTCCATCTCTGTGGGTTGTTCCCCTCCACCTTCATCCTTTAGTTGAAATCTGGCTTTTTCCTAGCATCCTACTTTCTCCATTTCTCTGTCTTATTCTCCAGAGTAGCTTCACACTTGTATCTTCCAAACATGTGCTATTTGGTATTCACAAAAATATCTCACCTGCTTAGAAGATGGAAAAGACTTCCCATGCTCTTGGATAGGCAGAACCAATGTCATTAAAATGGCCATACTACCAAGAAGCATTATACAGATTCAATGCAATCCCTGTCAAAATACCAATGGCATTCTTCACAGAAATTTTTAA